CTGACATTAACAGTAATTGAGATAGTCAAACCTAGCTGCTTACTCAGAGCTGGACTAACATTTAGTCTCTCAAATGAAATTAGTAAAAATTTGTTAACTTAAATTTGTATGTGTTTTAATGTATAAAGAAAGAGACATGTTTCTAAAAGGAAATGTGTGACTATAGCTGTATTTATTCCTGTACAGTGTTTATATATCACCCGCCATACAGGATAGGAGATTAGAAGGATTAGTTACCCAGTCATAACACTTCTAGCCTTGACCATGTACTACTGTCTGACAACTGCTCTTCTCAGTGATGTTAACACTGGTCCACAAGCATGGAAACAAACAGATGATCGCGAGATGTTTTCGTGCATTTCCAGATACTGGTACATAAAATCAAAATGAGAAGAGCTCCAAAATGTCTGACACAGAACTAGTGTCAGAGCAGCTCATACACTCCCCAAGGTGATTCTTCGTTATGTATATAGGTATATAGTCACAATATTTTCCTAGCATTCTTTGCAGGTCTGTCATAAATCTGTTTTGGTGCATTATAAGAGGTGACTTAATGGATGTGGTGGTCAAGTGACCTTGTTGGTAGCGTGTATATGTACCCCAGTATTGTTGGATGTGGCTCAAGATATCAGTCATGGGTTTGTGTGGTCCAGAATTAATTATTTCCAAAATGCCCTTAATATCGCTGGAATACTTCTGTGTGTGTTAACTAGTACAATCCATACACACTACCTGTTTGCCATGTTCATACTTGACAGTGTATTTAAGCAAAGTTTACCTCAATATGTTGTGTATTTAAAGTCTCCTACAAGTCTCTACATGCAGAATAATCTTATCAGCTGAAAAGGTTCTAGTTTCATTGACATTTGAGAAAGAAAATTTCACTGCAGTCGAGCTCTAAAAACAAGTTTAACTTCTGTATGGATTAAATAAGTGTCCCTTTTTGTTAATTTTCCAAACATCCAGGTCATCTATTAGAGCGAGTACGGTACATTACATATGTCCCAGCTGCAGCACTTGTAGATATAAATATACATGACCTTTTAATTAATAGTGTTTCAAATGTATTGGCACGGTTAGATAAAAGGGCAGCTTGTGGTTTGTACGGGTCAATTATATGTTTGTGAGATTAATTACCTCCAATGGAGGCTATGTCTCTAATAATATCAAAATGAGCCGAAACTGAAAACCATCAGATTTTTTATGAAATCAAGTTTGTTATGATTGTAGAAACATCTTTGAAAGTCCTTATCGTCAAAACCTATAAACTCTTGAAATGTTAATTCAAATCTTTATATGGGTCTCACATAAAAATTTCAAGACTTTACAGGTTTTGTTACATTTGAATAACAACAATGGCAATTAGCCATGTGTGATGTTGATTCGATCTGCTTACTGGTAATTACATGTAATTAGTACGGGTAACGGCTGGCCACGCGGGACTCATTAAGACGAACTTCATGGACTGATGGTGTGTCAAGTCTTGTTATGATGGACTGATTTTCAGATAAATGAAATGCCATTATTTATGTTTAATTTTTCAACAGCTACATTGGTAAGGTTTATTGTTTTCAGTGCTTTGTAAACAATGGATATTTGCTGCATGCTTGCCAAACGGTGTGGTGACCTGTCGGACATTGTCGTTAGTGGAGTGGGTCAAATGTTCCAATGAGACTGTGGTTAAATATTTATTAGAAATTCATCCTCATCTCAATACCATCACCCAACCTCTTATCATTTCATCATCATCATCATCATCATCATCATCATCATCATCATCATCATCATCATCATCATCATCATCATCATCATCATCATTTTTGGAGTGACTGATGTGATAATGACACTTTTGAATCAATCCCTAGAAGGGAATTGCTGCATATTGTATATAGTAGAAAAAAATCAACTATATATAATCTGTACAAGTGGACAAGCACTCACACAACAGTACCTGGAAATGAAGTTTAACTTGGTAACTGCGAGGAACATTTGTAAAGACATTTTAATGTGCTTACATGTCTGTGTGTTGCCTAACAATACGTGCGTTCGTGCAATGGGTACGTGTTGCACCAGGATCTCAATTCGGACAAAGGATCAGTTAAATACATTCAACAAGAAGGCTGAAGGGGAGGGCGCTGGCTTGTATGCGTGATTGTAAACTGTCGCTAGTTTCCGATATCTGGAGTTGTTTATTGGTTACCTGTGTTGTTGAATTATTTACAGGCTGACATATGTTCAGACGATGTATGTGATAAGCAGTATAGTATATTTGAATGAGGATTAGCATCTACTCCAGTTCAAGTTTAGTTTTGTTTGCGATCTATAGCCAGTTTTTATATTGTATTGTCCAAATAGTGCGATGAGTTTGAATTTTCCACACTAGTTTTAGTTGTAATTGTGATATTCTAGTTGTTTTACTGTCCTTCCTCGACAGGTTTTTATAACATACATCTATTCCATTTCAATGTCACATATGTTCTCGTCACGATATGGCTGAAATATTGCCGACGTGACGTTAAATAATAACTCACTCACTCACTCAAGTTTAGTTTCATGTTTTTGTTGAACGTGAGAGAATGAACTCTGTCATCCTGGAACTGAATGCAATGTGATGAATTATGTGGTTGCCATGGCAACATTTACCCGTGATGTTTTAGTAAAGACATGCAATTCTTGTAATTCTTCCATTTATCTGAGCCCTGCTGAAGATGATTGGATTGGCTGTAAAGTCATGATTGATGATTGAATCACCTTAAACGATCTATCAACTGTAACAATCATTGTCGTGTCATTATGCTGTTCTTAATGTTCAGGGACGGTGGGGTAGCCTAGTGGTTTTTGCATTCGCTCTTCACGCCAAAGACCTGGGTTCGATTCCCCACATGGGTAGAATGTGTGAAGCCCACATATGGTGAGGTGAGGTGAAATTGGGTTTAACGTCGTGCTTGAGAATATTTCGCTCATATGACGACGTGCATGCGTGTGTATGTGTATGTGCGACTGCTTGTACTAGCCCAGACTGAAGCTGGTTTTATAGTGCTAGCCCACTGAGATGAGATACCAGACACATGATACGCTCCGAGGTCCTTGTTGTACCCATTAATGGACCAACAAGTACCATATTTTAATGTCTTTTGGTATGACGCGGTTGGGGATCGAACCCGCGACCTTCCGCTCTCCGGGCGGATGCTCTAACCACTACACCACGGAGGCGGTCCCCATTTATGGTGTCCCCTACGATGATGTTGCTGGAATATTGCTAAAAGCGGTGTAAACCCATACTCACTCACTCTCTTTAATGTTCAGTAAAACTAGATCAACCAAACAAAAAGAAACAAAAATAATAGTTCAGTACTATATTATGATAGAAAGTACTGATCCTGTTTCAATAAGTAGTGAATATATCATGATGTTAGATGGGAATAGTGGAAGACTTGAGAAAGGATGGCATTGCCAAATTCCCACCAGTCTTTGATTATTTAAGTAAATGGCAACACCCCAAGTTTGCGTGACAAGGACACAGTGTGTGATCACAGCCAAAAGGTGTGGACTGTTGCTCCTGCTACTGACCACTGGTCTCACACACAGGCCACCATGTTGAAACAATCATGGAAGCTGGTCCTGTGCCAGACTGTAGTTGATGTATCACAAGAGCTGTGGAAATTTACCAAATTTTAAGGGTTTTGCTGCTTGCTATATAGTACCTGTGAATATCCGGGTTAGAATATTGATCTTCATTAACCCATGCTTGTCGTAAGAGGCAACTAACGGGATCGGGTGGTCAGGCTCGCTGACTTGGTTGACACATGTCATCGGTTCCCAATTGCGTAGATTGATGCCCATGCTGTTGATCATTAGATTGTCTGGTCAAGACTTGATTATTTACAGACCGCCGCCATATAGCAGGAAAATTGCTGAGTGCGGCGTAAAACTAAAATCACTCACTTGCTATAAAGACTAGTTAAAACGTTTCTCTAACTACTGTCACTGCTGTGATATTATTTAGTGAACGACTCACTGCTCAGTAGAACAAAATTGAAAAAACACCCAGGGCATTTTAGAAGAGAATGTGGCATTTAATCTGATGAATTTACAAAGATGTTTGAATATATATCTTTCTACAAACTGCATGCCAGTGAGATTGGTATCTTGCATTTTAAACAGCGAGTTTCTTTTATAGAACATATATATTATATAAAATAATCACATCATTCTGTTTTCGCCTATACTCATCCCTTCGCAGCTCATTGACATGTGAGTCTTGAAGGTTCTGTTATTGAGTGAGGGTGCCATATTTACATCTGTTTCTGGGACTATTTGTGTCACCTCAGTAAACTGCTGTGGAGTTGCCAGGAATGTGTGGTAGTAGACGGTGTAGCAGATGCTGCAAGCTGTCGTAGATACTGTTAATTATTGAGACGAGGATGCACATAGATCAGGTTTCCTTGTTCGCTGTCCTGAATATTATCAAGTATAGATTTAGGTGGAAGTATTGTACAGGTGGAACTCAGGATTTCAACATCCCCAACCCACTGGCACAGGGTTTCAACACCCCAGCCCATTGCTAAGGGTTTCAAGCCCTTAACCCATTGCTAAGGGTTTCAATGTCCCCAACCCATTGCTAAGGGTTTCAAGCCCTAAACCCATTGCCAAGGGTTTCAATGACCCAGCCCATTGATAAGGGTTTCAACACCCCCAACCCATTGCTAAGGGTTTCAACATAAGTGAGTAAGTTTTAATTTTACACTGCTTTTAGCAATATTCCAGCAATATCATGGCAGGGGACACCAGAAATGGAATCAAACCTGCGTCTTCAGCATAACGAGTGAACGCTTTAACCACTAGGCTACCCCACCACCCCTTGTTCTGCTGAGAAACAGCTTTGACTTGCCGAGTCAAGGTATACAAGGCCTGTTTGTACTTTAGGAGAGTGTTTAACTAGTCATTAAAAATGTTTTGCTATGATCTTCAAATCTTAATTTTCTTTTTCCTTTTTTCAGAACTTTTGCCTGGCATTGAAGACTTCCTGGTGAAGACTCTTGCCGGGGAAAATCTTTCGTCAGCTGCGGAGGAGAAGCGCCAGTACTTCGTCGAGCGTCTTGATATTCTCAAACTCCCACCTTCCATCCCGCCACGACCTAGTAAGTCTCAGGAATTGTTGTAAACTGCTTGTTGAGAACCAATATTGAGATCCGAACAGGAGTGTATGGTGCAATCTCATTGGAGATGTGATCTGCTGGAAACAGAGTCCATAGACTGAGTTACTGACTTGGGCTGGGATGGGTCAAAATATTCTACCCCACCCCCTTTTACCGTACCCTACCCGGGATACCCAATATGTTAATTGCTGACATCAAATTTGTAAGAAATGGCAATATATTCTTCAGCTCGGTGGCTAATTATTCCTTTTCAATATCTTAATCATGTATTTATTATATTCAAAACAGGAAATAATGTCTAAATCTTCAAAGACAATACAAACTTTTAATCATGAAAGAATAACATATTGAATTGTTTAATCTATTAGTCACATGATCATAACATGTCCGTGTATTGAGACGTGTAGTCAGGTCCAACTCATTATGCCCCGTCCTGGGTATCGGGGTTACCCGTCCCAGCCTTATTACTGACGCAGGAATTCCTGTCTGATTCGTTGTGCATTTCGAACGCATGTCAGTCATGTGATCACCACTCCAGAAAATTTGATATGAAAAAGCAACATTGTTCTAGATGTAATACAGAACCAATAATATTGATATCCAGGAAAATCAATTTCTTATCATTGGATATATCGTAAATACTGGAACTGTTGAAAACCTAACCAATTAGAAATTAAGAATCGTAAGCTGATATGTTTGACATGGTTTATTGTATCAGTGGTGTGGCAAATATTTTTCCCAATAAACATTGCTTTGGATAATGGATCATGAAAACATCTCAGTTAAGCAACTCAGTGTCTTCCTTATTTATGAACTGAAAAAAACTTCTGACACCTTCTGATGTTTGTCTTACAGACAGGAAGTCATCATCGGAGCTTGTAGAAGAGGATGAAGCTCCTGTAGAGGAGGAAAACGACGTCACTGACACATCTGAGCAGCCTAAAGACTTTGCAGCTTATCAGCGAGAGATCTCCCGTAACCTTCTGACAACCGTCGTCCCACCCACAGAGGTCTCGGACTCCGAATCAGAACAGGTATCTCTGGAGGGTTCCTTCCTCAAGGGCTGTTAGTGGGACTTGTTGGTATCAGAACAGGTATCTCTGGAGGGTTCCTTCCTCACTAGCTGTTAGTGAGACATGTTGGTATCAGAACAGGTATCTCTGGAGAGTTCCTTCCTCAAGGACAGTTAGTGAGACTTGTTAGTATCAGAACAGGTATCTCTGGAGGGTTCCTTCCTCAAGGGCTGTTAGTGAGACTTGTTAGTATCAGAACAGGTATCTCTGGAGAGTTCCTTCCTCAAGGGCTGTTAGTGAGACTTGTTGGTATCAGAACAGGTATCTCTGGAGAGTTCCTTCCTCAAGGGCTGTTAGTGAGACTTGTTGGTATCTCTGGAGGGTTCCTTCCTCACTGGCTGTTAGTGAGACTTGTTGGTATCTCTGGAGAGTTCCTTCCTCACTAGCTTTTAGTGGGATTTGTTGGTATCTCTGGAGGGTTCCTTCCTCAAGGGCTGTTAGTGAGACTTGTTGGTATCAGAACAGGTACCTCTGGAGAGTTCCTTCCTCAAGGGCTGTTAGTGAGACTTGTTGGTATCAGAACAGGTATCTCTGGAGGGTTCCTTCCTCAAGGGCTGTTAGTGAGACTTGTTGGTATCAGAACAGGTATCTCTGGAGAGTTCCTTCCTCAAGGGCTGTTAGTGAGACTTGTTGGTATCAGAACAGGTATCTCTGGAGGGTTCCTTCCTCAAGGGCTGTTAGTGAGACTTGTTGGTATCAGAACAGGTATCTCTGGAGAGTTCCTTCCTCAAGGGCTGTTAGTGAGACTTGTTGGTATCAGAACAGGTATCTCTGGAGGGTTCCTTCCTCAAGGGCAGTTAGTGAGACTTGTTGGTATCAGAACAGGTATCTCTGGAGAGTTCCTTCCTCAAGGACAGTTAGTGAGACATGTTGGTATCAGAACAGGTATCTCTGGAGGGTTCCTTCCTCAAGGGCAGTTAGTGAGACTTGTTGGTATCAGAACAGGTATCTCTGGAGAGTTCCTTCCTCAAGGACTGTTAGTGAGACATGTTGGTATCAGAACAGGTATCTCTGGAGGGTTCCTTCCTCAAGGGCTGTTAGTGAGACTTGTTGGTATCAGAACAGGTATCTCTGGAGAGTTCCTTCCTCAAGGACAGTTAGTGAGACATGTTGGTATCATAACAGGTATCTCTGGAGGGTTCCTTCCTCAAGGGCAGTTAGTGAGACTTGTTGGTATCAGAACAGGTATCTCTGGAGAGTTCCTTCCTCAAGGACAGTTAGTGAGACATGTTGGTATCAGAACAGGTATCTCTGGAGGGTTCCTTCCTCAAGGGCAGTTAGTGAGACATGTTGGTATCAGAACAGGTATCTCTGGAGAGTTCCTTCCTCAAGGGCTGTTAGTGAGACTTGTTGGTATCAGAACAGGTATCTCTAGAGGGTTCCTTCCTCAAGGGCAGTTAGTGAGACTTGTTGGTATCAGAACAGGTATCTCTGGAGGGTTCCTTCCTCAAGGACAGTTAGTGAGACTTGTTGGTATCAGAACAGGTATCTCTGGAGAGTTCCTTCCTCAAGGGCTGTTAGTGAGACTTGTTGGTATCAGAACAGGTATCTCTGGAGAGTTCCTTCCTCAAGGGCTGTTAGTGAGACTTGTTGGTATCAGAACAGGTATCTCTGGAGGGTTCCTTCCTCAAGGGCAGTTATTGAGACTTGTTGGTATCAGAACAGGTATCTCTGGAGAGTTCCTTCCTCAAGGACAGTTAGTGAGACATGTTGGTATCAGAACAGGTATCTCTGGAGGGTTCCTTCCTCAAGGGCAGTTAGTGAGACATGTTGGTATCAGAACAGGTATCTCTGGAGGGTTCCTTCCTCAAGGACAGTTAGTGAGACTTGTTGGTATCAGAACAGGTATCTCTGGAGGGTTCCTTCCTCAAGGACAGTTAGTGAGACTTGTTGGTATCAGAACAGGTATCTCTGGTATCAGAACAGGTATCTCTGGAGAGTTCCTTCCTCAAGGGCTGTTAGTGAGACTTGTTGGTATCAGAACAGGTATCTCTGGAGAGTTCCTTCCTGAATGAAAGTTAGTGAGACTTGTTGGTATCAGGAGCTCGAGTGGGATGTGGTGATTGTGGTTAGACTTGGTCCCCAGCAACCTGTGCTTATCAACTTAAGAGACAGGTCACGTTCAGTAACTTGTCATAGTACCCTGACTATATATAGTATGACCAGAAATGATTGACAATTTTAGGAATATGTTTAGTTGGATTTCTAGTATAAACAACCTTGACCAGCTATCAAGTGCTATGTTTCATTCAAGAGAGACAACTCCATTAATCCTTTTTCATTAGTTTGTGAAGAGTTATCCCCCTTTGTTTACTTGCTAGCAGACGACATTTTCAGTGATCCTCAGTATGGATGATTTGGAGTAGAGGAAGTTGATTTTAGAGTATTATAACAAGGACATCAGATCAGCTAAAGTGATTTCAAGTAGAACAGGCATCCCTTTGTCCACTGTTTATCGTGTTTTGAAGAATATTGCAAATGGATATGGCATTGAGCACCAGGGAGGCGCAGGTAGGCCCAGAAAATTGACTGTCGGTGACAGGAGGCGGCTTGGTATTCTTGTTTCTAAAAACAAACGAAGGAGTTTAGAAAACTTAAAGCTGGATATGATTGATAGAGAAACTGTGGCTGTCTGTAAGGAGACAATTAGAACTGAGCTTCATGCAATGGGTTGGCAGAAAAGTCGAGGAATTCTATCACCGATCATGAAACCTGAACAAAATGAGCGAAGGTTGAACTGGTGCTTACAGCATAGAAATTTTAACTGGGACAATGTGATTTTCTCAGATGAAAGTTCTGTTTGGCTGTTTCCTAATACACTGAAATTCTGGACCAAACAAGCATGTTATTAATCTTGAACAGGACATTACACACCACTCCACCTCACCTCACCTCACCATACCTCACCATCTTGCTGTTTGGTGTTCAGTTATTGGTATCCATAGATATTGTTGATAGACATTTGTGATAGATAAGCTGTCTGTGTTGCAGGGCGTGAAGGTTTACGATGACATTGACATTGAAGAGCATCTGGACCGGTAAGCTAATCCTACAACCAATTGTCCTACTCTATATCATTATTTGCTTTTGTAACATGTATATAGAACAATCATATCTCCTTAATATTGTCAGACGCCTCCGTGGTGTAGTGGTTAGAGCGTCCGCCTGGAGAGCGGAAGGTCGCGGGTTCGATCCCCGGACCGCGTCATACCAAAAGACGCTAAATATGGTACTTGTTGGTCCCTGTCTGGCGCTCGGCATTAATGGGTACAACAAGGACTGGTCAGCTCGGAGTCAGTATAATGTGTCTGAGTGGGGTATTCATGTTTCACTGTGGCATGGTACCTCAGTGGGCTAGCACTATAAAACCAGCTTCAGTCTGGGCTAGTACAAGCAGCCGCACATACACATACATAGCATGCACGTCGTCATATGAGCGAAATATTCTCAAGCACGACGTTAAACCCAATTTCACCTCACCTCACCTTAATATTGTCACTCGTCTGCTGGTCATTCTTGTCCAGAAGTAGTAATGTGACATTCAGGAGAGGATGCACCAGCTGTATGTCATTCAGGGTTTCTGCTACTCTCCCAGTGTAACCATCAAAGGGTTCGGGAGCAGATTATAAGCAGTCTTCATGCTCCGTCAGTCGTAATGTCCATACTTTAACTTAGAGTTATTACAGTCACAACACTAAGACCATATTTAACTTAGACCTTCGACAGTTGTCATCCTAAGATGATCATTACTCCGGCACTTTAACATAGACAGTCATTGTGGTAGACAAGCAAAACATCCACACGTCTACATAGACTCATAGCAGTTATAGATGATTGTAACTCAGATATATTAACGTAGCCCGACCACAGTCTTGATGCTAAGATCATAATTCCCATATTTATAGTGACTAAGATGGTGTCACATTCTACCTAGGGTTGTTTGCATGAGTGTCTCCAGACTGCCAAATTTTGCTGACTGTATTCTTTAATCACTCATTCACTCTTTAATGTGACCTCCAAAACTTTCCCAAAAGGTAGGGGGGATGGGGTGGCCTAGTGGGGGGATGGGGCAGCCTAGTGGTTACTTGTCCAGGTCCCTCGTCACGCTGAAGACCCGGGTTTGATTACCCACATGGGTACAATGTGTGAAGCCCATTTCTGGTGTCCCCTGCCGTGATATTGCTTGAATATTGCTAAAAGCGGCGTAAAACTAAACTCACTCACTCACTCCCAAATTGAAAGTGTTGGTTTTGTGTCTGCAGACAAGACGATGAAGACAAAGATGAACAGGACCTGTATGAGATTCCAGTGGCTCGGCTCCAGCTGTCGGAAGATAGTGCGGGTCAACAGTCAGGTGACCGATCCAGTCTGGCCACTGCCGCCAGCCTGGATGAACTTGCAGAGGAGGTGGCCGACATCCCCGTACCCCCGCCCCTTCCACCTCGGCGCGACCGAGCTTCCTCCGATCTGACCAGCTCCGGCGGGGGTGAAGACAAACCCCCAGATCTCCCTGCCCGACCGCCTCCCAAGATGGACGTCTATGACAAGAGTGATAAATCTGAGAAGAGTGACAAGTCTGACCATACAGAGTATACTCTAGGTAAGTCAATGAAACACTGTCGTCTGTAGGGGCCCCTGAGGCCCAGTTGTCTGAAGCTGTACAGTTTGCTGTCCAGAGTTGCCTCCCTTGGGCATGACAGTAACCTGTGATCGCAGCTCACCGTGATTATGTTTCTAGGTTGTGAGCACCAGGCTGGTTGTTTTCTGTGTCACTTAAAACTATCCCCCCAACACAGCCTGATACAGTGAAATAGCTCTAGTGAGTCCTGGGTGAGAAGGTGTCACTTGTATTTAAATATTTGGGACTTGATTGTTTTCTAGTCTATAAGGATCCAATTTAAGTCTCTCTGCAAAGTAGTGTCCCTTTGTTGTTCCAGGATTTGCTGATTCATGGTTCAGATTGGCCTGTATTTTGATTCTTAGTTTGTCATTTTCAGTTAGGTCTTGGGTTGCTTAACTTCACATGATTTGTGACCTGAGCTCTGTGCCCGGGACCACACACCACACACCACACACCACACACCACACACCACCATTATCAGTTTGGTCTTCTATTCAGCATTCTCTTCCCACAGAAGTTACTTGTCATATCTTCGTACGAACCTCTGTTCTAATACGGCCCTTTCATGGTGCGAGTGTTCAGGATTCGTGATTGGTTGCAATCAGATTTAGTTGTGCAATCAGTGACGTTGTTTCAAAAGTGATCATTCGCAAGGCCTCGGTAATTTCCGTATGTTTCGAGAAAACTAAACCTCTTCCCCTTCGTGATGCGCAAACGTTTCATCTAGACAGAACTCAGTCATGTTATGGCGGATCAGTGGCTTCTCCATCGCCCTCGTTAACAACGGACAAACTAGCCATTAAATGCCTTGTGTGTAACATCAACACAAGTCCCCGGCAGAGGAGGGATATTTGTGGCCTCACATTTGCTTGTGTTAGTCAAGTTGAATCTAAGTCGATGTAACACGTGTTCTGATTGGATAGAAAGAAGGGAGATCTTTCGTGTTGCGATCTTTTGCCTCTAGGGGATTTTACGAGAACCGGTAAATATGGCCGTATTAGAACAGAGGTTCGTAGGAAGATATGACAAGTAACCTCTGTGGGAAGAGAATGTCTATTCAGATGCATTGATGTAACTGAAAAACTGTTCAAAGCAAATGCGAGACCAAAATCACGCTCTTTTGGGACCACAATAAGTTTGGGTTAGAACTGATCTTCTGGATGCATGCCTGTCATAAGAAATGACTGGATCATAGGGTCATGTTCGCTGACTTGGTTGACACATGTCGTCATGTCCCCATAACCTCATTCATTGGATTGTCTTCTGGTCTCCCCCGCGTGACATTGCTGGAATATTGCTTAAAGCAGCATAAAACTCAACTCACTCACCCCACTGGATTGCCTCGGCTCAATTTGATTATTTACGGACTGCCATCATTTACAGGAATATTGCTGAATGTAATATTAAAACACAAACGAATGAATCTTTTGGGAATTATTGTGTCAAGGGTAGCTTTCAATTGTCCCCCGCTGCAACGCGGAACGCGGGACTATGTATTCAGCGGCGTCTGTCCGTATATGTACATACGTCCAGATTCTTGTTAACGCGATATCTCATGAACTGTTGTACCCAATGTCTTCAAATTTGGTGACAGCGTACATTTGGGGATTACGCAGACACCAGTTGATTTGGGTGACCATGACCTTATCTTCAAGGTCACCACAACACTTTGACCACTTTTCAACTCTTGTTAACGCGATATCTCATGGACTGTTGTACCCAATGTCTTCAAATTTGGTGACAGCCTACATTGGGGGAATACGCAGACACCAGTTGATTTGGGTGACCTTGACCTTATCTTCAAGGTCGTCACAACACTTTGACCACTTTTCAAACTCTTGTTAACGCGATATCTCATAAAACATTGCACCCAATGTCTTCAGTTATGTCGACAGCCTACATTGGGTGATTATGCAGACATCAGTCATTTCAGGCATCTTGTATGTGACCAAAAAATAAAAAGTAGTTAATATGTTATAATTATTCCATTCTTTAACGGTGGGGGACATTGCCATATTAGTGGCAAACACTTGTTGAAATTGGTTTTTTTCCCAACAAAGGATGTTTACACATTGATAAGGTTATATTTGAATTCACATAAAGTTTTAATCATTTGAGAATAGGAAATAGGTGACAATGTGCAAACCAGTTGGTTATTGTCACGTCTGTAAGAAGTGTCTGTAGGGTATGGACCTGTGAAGGTCTGGGTTAGAATATTGATCTTCAGTAACCCATGCTTGTTGTAAGAGGCGACTAACAGGATCGGGTGGTCAGGTTCACTGACATGGTTGACACATGTCATCGGTTCCCAGTTGCGCAGATCGATGCTCATGCTGTTGATCACTGGATTGCCTGGTATTTGCAGACCACTGTCATATAGCTGGAATATTGCTGAGTTTGGTGTAGAACTAAACTCACTCACTCACTTACTCACTCACTGTAGGTTATGGGAACATTTGATGTCTGGAGTAATGAATGGATGTGAAAAAACCTTGACATATATCGAGACAACTCCTCTCCACCTGTAACCATCAATCAAGACACAAATCTAGAGTTTAAATATGGCTTAAAATTTGTATTGACATTAGATTAGTCCCAATTGGACCTTACATTTGAAAGCGATGTCCCAAGTGAGTCATGCTTGAAAGACTTCGCCACGACTGACTGCTTCCATTGTGGTAAACCAGGTAGTTTAGTGAATGCTTATTTCATTAGGTCAGAATTGGTTGACATTCACATTCTGATATTTATGATCCTTTGTTCGCTGGAGTAGAATTTAAACATTTGCCTTAGATTCTATAGAAGTTAATGGAAACAGGCACAGCATAAAGGCATATTTTTCAAAAGCACCATAATTTCAATAGCCTATTCAGTCTTTCAGCGTGACATTTCCGTGTCTGTTAGTCACCACCTGCACCCTGGATAGGGGGGTGATGACTCTCGGTCACCCTTCTGCAGGGACACGTCTGCTCTATAAGGGATAGGTCCCAGCTTGTTGTTGTGAGTTGTCTCCTCTTTGATGGGGGTATGCTATGTCAAGCTATTTGCTTGCTAATGTAGGATAATGATAATCTAACCATCGTAACTCCAAGCAACAGTCATAGGTTGAACAATATAATGTTAAGAGCCACGACAACTGCACATTATAGTCATGTATTGAACAAAGTGATGTCAGAGCTATATCTGTCATAACTCCAAGCAACAGTCATAGGTTGAACAAAATAATGTTAGGAGCCATGACAACGGCACATTATAGTCATTTAATGAACAAAGTGATGTCATTGAACAAAGTGAATTGTTAAGAGTCAACTATAATCATCATATCTTCAAGCAAAGTGAATTAAGAACTATAATCATCATATCTTCAAGCAACAGTCATATTGAGTGAGTAAATGAGTTGGGTTTAATATTCCAGCTATATGGCAGCGGTCTGTAAATAATTGAGTCTGGACCAGACAATCCAGTGATCAACAGCATGAGCATTGATCTGCGCAACTGGGAACCGATGACATGTGTCAACCAAGTCAGCGAGCCTGACCACCGGATACAATCCTATTGACCATCGTATTGAACTGCATGTAATAGTCTTAGACTTTCACAAATTTTATTGGACAATCATCTAGATCATGACCAAATCTGACAAATATCTCCAGGACATAGTGAATATGATAGTCAAAGAAGAAGAAAATAAACCAATCTGAAATCTTTTGTCACATTATCTTATTATCATGGCAGTAGTTGTCGTGATCACAGTTGCAATTGTCATGCAGTTGTGTTTCATATTAATATCACATAAATATTTCAGTACTATTGTACAAGTAAAGATTCTGTTGAGGGTCAACCCAGTTGAGCCCCGGGCCGGGGCGTGCCATTCATCATCTTGTCTACTGTACAAGGGATGACTGTGTGGATTTTATTATGCAGGTAGAACATGTATAATTATTAGATATTCAAGCATCCCCTCCAACGCAGCATACCTTGTTTTGTGTTTTTTGTAAGCTGAATGATAGACGTAACGTATGTTATATTTGGGATTACACTTTCTTAGTAAAGTACAGATTCTAGTACTTTTGGGGTTGAGTCCCATCTGGGATTCGAACCCACACCCTCAGAGTCAGGCACCTAATTGCCAGCACACAAAGTCAGACGCCTAGACCGCTCTGCCACCGCGGCTTCCACAAAATGGAAGTCGGTTGTGTGGTGTACTTTACTAAGAAAGTGTAATCCCAGATATAACACACGTTACATTTGACCGATTTCTAAAATGGCATTGTGTATTTCATGAATGATAGACGACTATGGATGAGCTTAATGATGATAATCACAGAGGTGACTGTGTAGGTAGCTATCACAGAGGTGACTGTGTAGGTAGCTACTCACAGAGGTGACTGTGTAGGTAGCTGTTACAGAGGTGACTGTGTAGGTAGCTGTTACAGAGATGACTGTGTGTAGGTAGCTATTACAGAGGTGACTGTGTAGGTAGCTATTACAGAGGTGACTGTGTAGGTAGCTATCACAGAGGTGACTGTGTAGGTAGCTATTACAGAGGTGACTGTGTAGGTAGCTGTTACAGAGGTGACTGTGTAGGTAGCTATCACAGAGGTGACTGTGTGGGTAGCTGTTACAGAGGTGACTGTGTAGGTAGCTATTACAGAGGTGACTGTGTAGGTAGCTATCACAGAGGTGACTGTGTAGGTAGCTATCACAGAGGTGACTGTGTGGGTAGCTGTTACAGAGGTGACTGTGTAGGTAGCAGCTATCACAGAGGCGACTGTGTGGGTGGCTACTTACAGAGGTGACTGTGTGTAGGTAGCTGTTACAGAGGTGACTGTGTGGGTAGCTATCACAGAGGTGACTGTGTGAGTAGGCCTATCACAGAGGTGACTGTGTAGGTAGCTGTTACAGAGGTGACTGTGTAGGTAGCTATCACAGAGGTGACTGTGTAGGTAGCTATCACAGGGGTGACTGTGTAGGTAGCT